GGAGGGAGGGAGGGAGGGAGGAAGGAAGGAAGGAAGGAAGGGAGGAGAGAGAGAGAGAAAAAGAAAGGGAAAGTGCGTGTGTGTGTGTGAGTGTGTGTTCAAGGTTCCTTGGGGAAATGTCAAATTTCAGGGCTGGGGCAGGGAAAGATAACATCTTGTCCATTCCAGAAAGTAAAAAAATATGACCAAAGAATAATGAGAGCGTGTTAAAAGGACACAAGGGCCAACTTAGAGGGGCTCCCACTAGCTAAATCTTGGAGAGCTTGAGTATCTAAATAAATAATGAAGGTAAAGGATTTCAACCTATTTTAAAAAATAAGAATGAAGAATTCATTCACATTAATACAAATAAATAAATGGGGAAGAGGGGGAAATTCTTCCTTATAGTAGAAATCCAACTAATAAATGTAAAAGCAATGACATACTTAGAAAATCACCATTTGACCACCATCAGAATCATTGACTCAGACAAGAATCACCAACCAGTATTAAAACTAGGGAAGGAGGAGCTGGAGAAGCCACAAGATATTTATGTAGTCTGAAAGTATCTTTTCAGAAGATACTAATTACAATGGGGAAGAGTAACCTTACAGAGGAGAACCTGCCAGATTCCACGGTAACCAAGCTATCAAAGTTTGGAGTAAATTGACATAACATGCCTCCTAATATGTGAAATGAAAAGGACACAACAGCACTTCTGCGGTCTTTCTGTCAAGAAAACATAACCTGAATTGAATCAGAAGGAAATATCACGTAATCCTCATCTGAGGAGCATTCTACAAAATAGCTGACCAGAGCTTTCCAAAGAGAGGAATATTATAAGACACAAAGAAAGACTCAGAGACCATTCCAGGCTACAGAAAACTGAAGAAACATGACAACTGACATGCTCTAGAGTTTTCTTTTGTTCTAAAGAGCATCATTCGGACAATTAGAAAAACCTCTGTAAAGTCTGTGGGTTAGATAAAAGCACGATATCAATGTTTATTTTCTGCTGTGTATAGTTGTATTGTGGTTGTGTAAGAGAATTTTTAGGCATAAAGAAACATCATGTCTGTATCATACTACCAATTCAGAAAAATATATATTATAAGTATAGATATAGAGGGAAGGATAGAGCCAATATGGTAAAATGTCAACACTTGAGGAATATAGATGAAGAGTATATGGGAATTCTTTGTACTATTCTTGCAAACCTTCTATGAGTTTGAAATTTTGTCAAAGGGAAATGTTTTTGCTGATTGTCCTGAAAAGACCTTAGGAAATCTAATATAGTAAGACCACAAAGACCACATTTATCCACAGCCAGCTGAGATACACAGCTGGATCCAGGCCTCTGCAATACTATGAATTTTGTTAGGTATAATCAGAGCATTATGATTATGTTTTAAAATGTCTTTATCTTGCTAGAGACTCATAGT